ATTGTCTTCTTAGGCAGCTGCACTACCATCTCCACCCACTTGCCACCGTAGAAAAGCAGTGTTGGACCAGTGCATAGTCTTGAGTTTTTAGAAATGCAATCTTGTCAACACAGGCAGTGTCAGGTTTTCCAGAGATCAGCCAGTTTATTCATTGTTCTTAAGAAACTTAACTGTGCAACATGTGCAGTATCATGCAATGATCTGGACCTTCCCTGATGCTGTGCAGACATGAATGTGGAGGCTACTACGAGAGGAAGATGATCTCTAGGCTTAATTCAGTCCCAGAGAAACTTGATAAAAAATATTCATCCCAACCACGAATGCTTCTGATCATTAAGAGAGGGTCTTCTCCCTTCACAGTACTGGAAAGCCCAATTCTGCCCAATTCTAGTTCTCCCATGTTGTGGTACAATAAGCTGTACACATCATTCAAGCCTTGTTCTTCCCGGCCTTCAGTGTTCTGTAAGATGCAGATATAATTTGTTATTTTTTTTAATATATTGAATTTTTGTGAATGTGATGAGTGGGAAGTACTAAATAGAAGTTTGATATTTTCCATAATTATGAGCCTGTCCCTATTTGATGGGAACTCTTTATAACCATTAGTTGTTCTCAGAAGAGCCTCTATCAGGTTATGAGTGACTTTGTATAATATATTTAATATCAATGAATATTATAATTGTTTTAACATTAATCCTAAGTGGTAATGTACCCTGGCTTTTAATGGTGTATATTGTGCCTCATATTTAGTAGAATGTGTCCAATAATGCCCACTTATTGTGATAGATTAAAACTAAATCAAGCATGTCATTAACAGTACTAACAGCGTGATTGGTGATAATGACTCTCCTTCCATTCATGTTCTTCATAAGCTCTCTATAAAGAGCCAGGGTCCATAACATCCAAAATAACCCAACAGATGACCGAACAACTGAAGTCAGTCCTGCAATCAGTGCAGGCTCAGTGACCCAGCACTAACTGCCGAGGGGGCTGCAGATCAGGCCCAGAGAGAAAAGCAGGGTCTGATTCACAGCCTCCGTGGCAGCTGTTGATCAGCGCTTGCTTCTCTTTCTCTCCGGCCGCAGGGTGGGTGCTGATCAGCCCCACCACTCTCATCAGACCCGGAGGTAGACTCAGAGACACTGACTGGCATAGAAAACGGCCAATCAGAACCAAATCTGGGTGAACTGTTAGGAGCCAATGGCTGCCTAGGAGGTGGAGCTTTTGATGCTGAGTGGCATAGAAACCAGCCAATCAGAACCAAAATCTGAGTGAAGAAGGAGCCAATGGCTACCTAGGAGGCAGAGATTTTGATGCTGACTGGCATAGAAAGTGACCAATCAGAACCAAATCTGGGTGAACTGCAAGGAGCAAATGGCTGCCTAGGAGGCGAAGCTTTTGACACTGACTAGCATAGAAACTGACCAATCAGAACTTAATCTGTGTGAACTGCAAAGGCAGAACCTAAGGTGGGGACTAAGGAGGGGTTTTAAGGGCAACAGCTGTTTAGTGTAAGGTGTAAGAAAGTGGTTCAATATTTTAATGACCGGTTTGGCAGTATAGTGCATATGGCTGACTAGCAGTCCAGATATAGAGATTATGTATTTTTGTCTGCCAAGAGCATCTCCTCCTGCTGAAAAATGCCCCTCCCCCCCCCATTTAAGCAATCCTATCCTATATAATCTATATAATCTATACCAGTGTTTCCCAACCTTCTCTCATGATGAGAATCACCTGGTGGAGTTGTTAAAACACAGATTCCTGAATCCCAACTAAGAAGTGCTAAACTAGAATTTTTGGAAACATATAGGTAAAATTGTATACTTAACTAGTGCTCTAAGACAGATTTTATATTCAGAGCACTAAGTTAGGTATGCAATTTTACCTATATGTTCTCAAAAATTCTAGTTTAGCACTTCTTAGTTGGGATTCAGGAATCTGTGTTTTAACAACTCCACCAGGTGATTCTCATCATGAGAGAAGGTTGGGAAACACTGATCTATACTATGCTAATTAGATTGGGTCGACCAGCCATCTTCCAGATGTCTGACTTCCTTTCGGACAAAGCCACAGTGGTGGGGCTGAGGCAGAGGCAGAGGCAGTTAGCGGCAATCAGGCAATCAGGCAGGCAGGCAGGCAGATAGACAGAGGCAGTTAGGGGCAATCAGGCAGGCAGGCAGGTAAACAGTTAAGAGCCAGCAGTCCCAGATTGTGAGAGGGATGTCTGACTGCTGGTTTAGGCCTGATCCCTGTGGGATTCCTATGAGATTGGACCTAAACCGGTAGTTGGACATCCCCCAAGGGATCCCCAATTGAAAAAGGTGCAGGCTCAGCTGAGGGAACATGAATTTCATGCACCAGGCCACTAGTGTCTTAATAAATGAACACATCTTGGAAGGCTGCCTGCCATACTGCTTTGTAGTATAATGATAGTACTTATTGGGAAGATTATATAGGCATGATGAGAGCATTGATTGGAAAATTGATCTTCTAGTGGTAAGGCTTAAGTTAAATTGACTGTTTTGCCATCAAACTGGATAGGAAACACAATTGGTTTGCATTTGTGTTTTGTTTTATTTGAACAATTGATTGGTGACATGCATTAATTTTGTGTTACCCTTGTGGTAGCAGATACCTTAACACATCAGCATGAAAGTATGATTTCTAATCAAAGATGATGCAGTTAACAGGGTATTGTCAAAGTGCATGAGGGCAGTTGACCAATATACAATCAGGAGGTGCTTCAAGACTATCAAGCTGTTGCCTTCAGTGTTGGTTTGCACATCAATTAGTTGCAAATGTATCCATCATTTCAAAACACCATAGCCCAAAAATATATATTGCGTTTGATACATTTCTCAAGTTTGGTGCTTTGTTTGTTTGTTTGTTTGCTTGCTTGCTTTAAACCAAAGAAGGGGATTGATGTTTTCATTACCCTTTTTATTTTACTCCTTTCTTTGAGATCTCCCTTGGGAGAAAAGAAATACTGCTAGAGACTCTCCAACAGACGTGGACCACCGTGTTCCAGAAGTGTCAGCCTTTGAACTGGACATTGTTCTGACCTTTTTTTCCTCTCAGTATTCCTTTTCTTGGAATATGGGATTCTACCTCTTGAATATGACCATTAATTTCATACAAGCATTAACTTTAGTATTCACAGAAGAATGTTAGAGTATGCAGCCATTTGGGTGCTATCAGATTCACAGGTCGACTCTTTGGTTATTTTTGTTCCTAGTAAAGTACAGTGGGAACACACTATCCTCAATAAACTGTAAGTTATCAAGGAAAAGATCTTTGTGTTAGAGCATAATTAATCTAAAATATCACAAAGCATTTTAATATGAGAAACATGTGCATACATTTTTTTTACTATTAAATTTTGCTTTTGCTTGTGTAATAGAATCTTATGTCAATTGCTTCAATTCTAAATGGGATGTCATGAATCTTTATTAAGTACTGAAAAAAAATTTTTTTTCAGTACTTAATAAAGGAAGACATTCATATCTAGCAGTGAATTTAAGAATGCTTAAAAGCTATTTTATAACCTACCTTCTTTTTGATTGTGCTTTGCTCTATGTCAGCACATGGGCAAGCAAAAAACAAAGGCTTGAGGGCCATAGGCCCTTTGTCTTCAGGCCTCAGGTTTGTTGCAAGTAGGAGCCATTCATGAATTGCATTTGAGCCTAGGTAAGAGACTGGTCTAAGCTAGCTCCTATTCCCGCCATCACCCCTTACTAGAAAATTCTCTCTTATTGCCCTTCCAAACATTTAAGAAATATACATGGGGCCCAAGCTGGTTTGGCTCAGTGGATAGAGCCTATGGAGTGAAGTGTCCTGGGTTTGATTCCACTCAAGGACATGTTCCTTGGTTGCAGGTTCCCCGGTCCTGATCGAGGTGCATACAGGAGGCAACCAATAGATGTGTCTCTCTCACATCAATGTTTCTCTCTGTCTCTTCCCCTCCCTTCCACTTTCTCTAAAAATCAATGGAAATATATCCTTGGGTGAGGATTAACAAAAAAGAAAAAAAGAAATGCACATGGAAATTTTTTATTCATTTGCATATTGACAACCCTTAAGCAGATACTTAAAATCCTAGCCTTGGTTTTCATCAAGGTTTTGAAATAAAAATAAAAGTGGAAACTTAAAATTTAATGTAAGGTAAACCAAGGAAAAAATTTTTTTTAAGTTTCTTCATATATCCCTCTTTTGAAATTAGCTAATTTTCCAGCTAAAATTATAGAGATGCTATGAAAGGAATCCACTTAAGAAATTGAGAACAAAACTTTGTTTTTATTAAATTGGCAAATATACACATTTTGTGATATACCTTGTTGTTTTTTTTATAAGTTCTAATGATTTCTTTTTATTAAAATTGTAATGTGTCAAAAAAAATTGTAATGTGTCCATCAATTTGTCACTTCCTTAGAAGTTGTAGAATGAGCTGTGGTTTCTTGTATTGTGCAAAGATTAGTAAACTTTAAATTCTTAATTTAGAAAATTTCCCTCAGGTTGTTAGTAATATCTCATGGGTCTAATTTTTATTATGCAGTTGACCTTCATTAAATCAATTTAAAATTTGTTGCACATGGAGTAAATCCCTCCAAATAATTCAATATTTTCTTAAAATACATTTTTGCCATAACCAGTTTTTTAAAGAAACTAAGGTATGTTTAGAAATCTCATATTTCTATTTCTACAAATAAGACAGTATATAAGCCAGTTATTTTTATTTATTTGGCAAGTACTATGTGATTGTATTTAAACAACAAATAATTCACTTTATTCAGCAAATTAACATCATTACCTAACTTAACACAAAGTATTCGGAGAGAATGTCAGAGTTCACCAAGCAGGCAGAAATCATGAACTGATTCTCCTTTTACAGGTTGGATGGTGCCAGGTAGTATTCGTTTTCCATTATGAATTAGAAGATGTTTAATAAAGTTGCCACCTGCAGTTGCCTCTGAACTCCAGTGATAATTATTTCCTTTTCACAGTGCTTCAGCTGAGGCTGCAACAGAGGCGGACGCGGGAACAGCTCGTGGACCAGGGCATCATGCCACGTAAGATTCAAGTGTCTGTCATCTCTAATGTAACACTGGGCATGTCCAAGAAGAACCTGTATCCGTGTAATCAATATGTAATTACCAGATAAGTTTATAAGAAAAACCAGGCTTCAGCATTGCCAACCTAATTTAATTATTTAAAACACATTTTGAAAACTCAATGCTTTTTAAAAATTGGACTCAAATTTTTTATTATACAGAGGTACACCTTTAAAACTCTACAATTAGACTTCAAACTGCAACTGCTGTTTTAGTTTTAAATAATTGAAGTAATCCTACATAATGGATTCAGTGTTACTTAGACTTGCAAAAGTAGCATATAAAATTAACTCAAAACCTTATTCTGTTTTAAATCATTTAAATTATCTTTTATGCTATAGTATGGGCTGTAATATTAAGTGTGTTTTAGTTACAGGACTAATAAATGCTCTATTTATAATAAATAAAATCTTCCTTGCCTGAGTACAGATATTTTCCAACTAGCTATCTCTAAGCTTCAATCCTTCATTTTTTGAGAGTTGATTAATTTTAGGAAATTTGTCCAGGTTGTCTTGTTTAACTTAATTCATCAAGTAGAAGATGATGCCATATTTTAAAGGGGAAGAGTGGTGGTTTTTTTAGGCCATTAGGATTATTTATATGGATTTTTTCTTTAAAAAAAAAAAAGAAAGAAAATTACAAAATACATTTACTAGTATGCTTCCCAGTCTTCTGAATCATTAATTTTTCCTTTTTTGGTTTATAAGGAACAGTTTTGTTCTGTAGTAATTTTTCCCATTGAAACTTTTTTTCTGGACTATTAATTGTCTAAATATTTTTAAGCTAGCATTGTGACAGTCAAAGCTGGTTTAATAATCTGCCAGATTTCTTCACCACTACATTCCTGACTATGAACAGGATCAATCAAATAGAGGTATAAATTATGTTTAAGACACCACTGCTAAGCCAGTCCACTTTTAGAAGTTGGTTTCCGCTTTTAGAAGTTGGTCCCTAGCCAAACCTGTTGGGGCTGGCTGCTGGGAGTCTCTGCAGTGCTTCAAGTACCAGAGCTGATAATAATAATGTTACAAGAGTTGATGGGCCAACTTTTGGAGATGACAGCCTAAGTGAGCCTAGCTAGTCCTGTATCTCACATCATCTAACTGCCTGTAGTCATAAGTGCAGGGTGTTATCAGACAGTGGTGGACATGCAAAAGATTTTGCAAAGATAAATGGTAGAAAAACTGCAGTAGACAAGGACTTAGTAAATAAGCACTGCTTACCCTCACTTTGGGATTTTGGAATATTTAATGTACTAGCACTTAACATATTAAAGAATCACTATGTCTTTAGAGTGGTTTGCATTGTGGTGTGGTAGAAAGAGCATGAACCTTTCAAATTCAAAATTCTAGATTTATTTTGATCACCATTTAGCTAAATAACTTTGATCACCTTCTAGCTATATAACTTCAAGAATTCATTTTACTTCTTGGAGCCTTTCATCTATACTGGGGCTAATGCCTACCTTGCAAAATTGTTGTGATGATCAACAGTAATATAATTGTAATTGACCACAGAACACTGGGCTAAGCCTGTTGTGGGTTCTCAGTAAATAATAGATGTGTACAACATGAAGTACAGTGTGTCTCATGTTCAAGGTTAGATCACTCAAGGTTAAATGTCCTAAGAACATTTGGGCTTTTTCTAATAGCTTAGATGGCCAATAAAATCCTGTCAAGGAATCATCAGAATTCTCTTGGTGATAGTAATTTGCCCCAGCAATTGGTTGGAACTAATCTAACCTGATATTTGCATTGTCATTATATATACAACTTCATTTTAAAAGTTTGTTTTATTTATGAAATACATAGTGTTTTTTAATTTTTGAGTTTATTTGAGCTAAACTGATGTATGTCAGGGAACAAGATCTCAAATGCTCCTATAAAATATATAGTGTGGGATGTTTTTCTGTGTGTGTGTGTGTGTGTGTGTGTGTGTGTGTGTGTTGATTTCAGAGAGGAAGGAAGAGAGAGAGAGAGAATCATCAGTGATAAGAAAGAATCATTGATCTGCTACCTCCTGCACATCCCCCACTGGGGTTTGAGTTCGCAACCTGGGCACGTGCCCTTGACCAGAATTAAACTTGGGACCTTTCAGTTCACAGGCTGATGCTCTATCCACTTAGCCAAACCAGCTAGGGCTGAAACATATAGTTTTAATTATGAAACACTTAAGGTTCCATATTTTGCAGATCTCCTAAAGGAACTAGTAAATAAATGGAACTGTAGATGTGAACTAATAAGGTTAAGAAGAAAAATCAAGAAAATACTGTAACATTTGACTGAAGTATTAACTCCTCTATTTATACTACGGAACCAATTTATTTTCCTCTCCCAGCCTTGAAGAGCCCAGCAGCATTCCATGAGCAGATAAAAAGCTTGGAACGAGCCAGAGTAAGAAATCTCACTTTAAAATGTTATACTTCTCTGCTTCTCTCTTATTTCAAAGTACCAGGGGACAAGTAGCAATCTTACTCCTAAATATGTCAAAGGAGGAACTGCAGTGAATTTGCAAGATATATGCCATATAGAGTAATATATCCTGGGTTAATTTTATCTTGGAAGTTAATAGAAAATACATGACATTCAAATTTTGTTTTTAAAACTAGTGACTAATTTTATATATATATAAGACAAATCATATAAAAATACTTCTTTGCTTACTTGCTTTCAGAGCATAACCAGTTTTCAGAATAATAATGAAGTAATTCTGCCATTTGTTACCCCAGCAGATGGACACAGACCCTACTGTGTTACCTGTACATCTCTGACCAAGGGTAGGAGAATCTGACCGAATGAATGAATATGGCCTCAAGTCACTCTGTTTTATTCTGAGCTGACTCCATCATAGTTGCACACCGAATTGATATTTATTACTTTTCTTTAAAAGTACTAATATGCACATTTTTCTTTTTGTTTTAGGCAAAACTTCTATCATGTTTTATGAAAAGCATTTTCCAAAAATTCCTTTAGAATTTTCTCAGGATGCAATAATGATCTCTTAGAGTCTTACAAAATATAAAACTCTATTGTTTAGAGTTGAGTACAATTCTGAATAAGAAAATCTGATCAAGGATATGAACTCACCAAAGAAAATATATGAGTAATTTTAGTAAATTATTATTTAGGTGGATTTTTTTTACTTGACCTGAAGTTTATATTTTTTAAAATATTTAAATGTGTCTGTTCAAAAATCAATTTTAAAATTATGAGCCTTTGCCTTTCCCAAGTTTTAAAATAAAGGTCCATAACTTGATTACTTTATACCAGCATATACTATGTCCTTGTACAATTTTGAAGGCTGCAATTTAAATCATATATTGGATAATAGTTTCTCAAAGCATTAATTTCTACTTTTCTCTTTCTCTCAAAATCATGACCAAAAGGGTATCAATTAATTTAAATGGAGTACCTTGAGAGAAAAATATGTAAAACCACAATAAGTCATAATCAATTTATGACAAGATTTTTCTTTTTTTTAAGACTGAAAACTTTTTGAAGCACAAGATTCGAAGCCGACCAGATCGTTCTGAACTTGTCAGGATGCACATTTTAGAAGGTAAAAGTTTTGTTTCTGCTTATTTTATGTGAGAATGCCACCATTTCTCTTTATTACCATTTAATAACTTTACCCCACAGGCTGACATCCTCCATGGATAGCAACATGAAAACCCAAAGTTATGTTAGATACATGGGAAAGGTTTGATTCTCCAAATAACCTACTGATCGACTGACTCTTCCCCTACCAGCTGGTACCATAGGTGTCTATCACACTGTTCTGGAAAAACATTTTCAGTCCAAAGGAATTCTTCTTCAGCAAGAGACATGTGCCCACTCATTAAGTAATAACGGGTACAATAGCCACAAGTCTAACTATAGATTTTCAGCTACTTGGACCCTGTTATGTCTGCCTGGTACAATGTCCACACCTAACATTATTGCTTTGTTGCTACTTGCCCACAACAATCCAGCTGATTTGACCATTATCTTAAACATCCTCTACTCAGCCCATCAAATTTTCTCTTCTGGCCTCATCACTTATAAAGCTGGTAGGGATGATTCTATTTCATCTTTCGTGAGACAAATGGCTAAGGCCAGGATATTTTTCTCTCTGAAGACATAGCATTCTTTTTTTTATTATGGTTGGCACTATTACACATGCCCCCCGGCTCCCCCTTGCCTTCACCATTGTTGTCTGTGCCCATGGGCTACACATATGCATTTCTGTTCTTTGGCTAATCTCTTCTCATCCCCCTACCCCTACACTCCTCTCCTCCCCTCATAGCTCTGTCAGTCTGTTCTATGCCTCCATGCCTCTGATCCTATTTTGTCCGTCAGTTTATTTTGGTCATTAGCTTCCACATACTATAAGTGAGAGCATATGGCATTTGTCTTTCTCTGACTGGCTTATTTCGCTTAGTTTAATCTCCAGGTCCATCCATACTATTACGAAAGGAAAGAGCTCCTTTTTTACAGCTGAGAGAGAGAGACAGACAGATAGACAGACATTGATGTAAGAAATGTCGATCCCATCAGGGGTTGAACCCACCATGTTTTGCTATACAGGACAACACTCTCTACCTGAGCCACACGAGCTTTTATCCACTCATCTACGGATTGATACTTTGGCTCTTTCCAGACCTTGGCTATTGTAAACACTGCTATGAACATCAGGGTACATATATTCTTTCTTATTAGTGTTTTGGGGTTCTTCGGATATATTCCCACAAGTGGGTTCACTGGGTGAAACAGCAGTTCCATTTGTAATTTTTTTAGGAAACTACACACTGTTTTCCACAGTGGCTGAACACAGAGCATTCTTGAAAGCTGGTATCACTACCATAAATTTCCCAAGTTACATTTTCTTTCCTTGTTTTGCTTCTCTGACTAATTTATTGAGCTTGACCCTGTGATAGTCTTCCGTATGTTAAAACTTGAAAAGATACAGAAAGAATCTGAAAATTCCTCAAATATTCAGACACAATTATTATGTAGAGGAAAGATTAGATCTGTTCTCTCTTGCCTGATGACAGATTTAGTATCAGAATTAGGTTGACATTAATAGTAAGGTATTAGGTTGTAGCTCAACATAAGGAATAATACCCTAAAAATACAGACTCTTCAGGAAGCCATATGGTGGCTGTGATCAGAGGTGTTTAGTGATTGGCCAATGAGCTAGACACCAGAGGCCAGCAAGTGAACCTGTCTTCATGGAGTTTACATTCTAATGGCACCGACAGACAAACAAAATAAATGAATTACAGATTCAGAAAAGTCCTCTATAAGGAATAAAGAGGCTGCTATGAGAATGAGTACAGGCTGACACCATATTAATGATATTGTAAAGAAGCTACAAGCATAAAGTTAGTCTCTACAACCTCAAGTAGGGTCTTTTCTAGCACACAGAATCTATGATTATGTGACCATCTTCATGTCGGGCGGGAAGTGGAAGCCCCTGGCTGGCAAACTCTCCAGGTTGTGCTCTCGGAAGTCCCCTGAACTAAAACACTCCGGTGGTAGGGCGGAGCAGCTGCAGCTATCAGTGAGCCTCCAAAGAAGTAATTTACTGGTAAGTGACCAGACACATTAACTGGTAAGTGACATTTATCTAGTCACTTACCAGTAAATTACTGCTTTCTCGGCCTGCAGACATCATGACCTATAAGAGGCATTTTGGGAGGAACAATGCTGCTTGTTTCATCTTACCCCTAACTGTAACAGACTTTATTAATATAATTAAAACCAAGGCCAAAACTATCAAAAGAAATCACATTTGCTTTTTATAAAGAAGGCTACCCAATATTTAAAAACCTAATCATGTACATGAATGAACCTTAAGTGATGTTTTTAAGACATCTGTCCTCAAGTTGAAATTTTTGAAGAAAAAAATGTGTCATCTATACTGTTTAAAATGCCTTAAAACTATTCCCAACTTATTTTAACATTATCCCAATTTTATTGGCTTGGATATTTGGCAGGCAAAAGTCTAAATTATTTTCTGAAGTTCAGCAGCTAAAATCCAGCCTCGGCCTAATGGAAATGAGGTGGTAATAAGACTAGGGACAGCAATATACCGAAATACCAGCCTCTGAGTATTTATTTTTGGAATATATTCTTTCCAAACATATTCCTGGTATCACAAAGATTGTGTTGACGGGAGAGAAGAGAAAGGCAGAAGACTGCTCTACCTAGATCTTAGCAGAAGCATTTAAATATCAATCTAAGAGTGCATGATCTAATTCTCACAACCTGTCATCCTCTATTGTTGGGAGTGTTTTACTTAACAAGATTGGGGCCACAGTTAATTATATGCAAAGTCATAAAAATGAGATGACTACACGTTATTTTAACTTACAAACATGCATTTATTTGCCAAAATTCTGAGGAGGGCTAGGACCTTCACTTTGGGGAAGGCTTTAATGAATGGAGTTCACTTCATCTTTCTTGTATAAAGCACAACCAGTGTACATTGTCTACAATTTCCATTTATGGTGAAAGAAAAACTTAGACACTTGAAAAGCAATGTGGGTTTTTAAATCCTAGATTTTACAATTTTTCCCCAAATCTTTTATAGTTAATAACTGCCCTAATTTGACAGTAGTTTTTTAATGATTGACCTTTCTCAAATTGTTCTGAAGGATTTGTACAGGTTTCTAAGAGCATTTGAACAGGTTTCATTTTATTTTTTTATTCTTATATTTTTTAAACTCTTTATTGTTGAAAGTATTAATAATCATTCTATTTTTGAACTTTGTCTTTCCTCATAACATCTAATTATATTATGTATTGACATTAGCAATCCTGACAGGTATGAACTATTTTGTGGACAGTCATGGTTTTGGCAAGCATATAAATCAACTAGTGGAAAGATAAGTGCAGTGACTCGTGATCAATATGGGTTTGAGCTGTACAAGTCCACTTATATATGATTTTTTCAGTAAATGCTATAAATGTATTTTGTCTTCCTTAAAATTTTCTTAGTATTTTACTCTAGCTTACTTTATTCTAAGAATACTGTGAATAATACATATAATATATAAAATATGTGTTAATTGGCTATTTAAGTTATCAGTAATGCTTCTGGCCAACAGTAGGCTATTAGTAGTTAAGTTATATGTAGATTTTTTAAATATATATATTTTATTGATTTTTCACAGGAAGAGAGAGAGAGGGATAGAGAGTTAGAAACATCAATGAGAGAGAATCATCTATCAGCTGCCTCTTGTACACCCCCTACTGGGGATATGCACGCAACCAAGGTACATGCCCTTGACTGGAATTGAACCCGGGACCTTACAGTTCACAGGCCGACGCTCTATCCACTGAGCCAAACTGGTCCCGGCTACATGTAGATTTTTGAACACACCAAACCCCACCGAGGTGTTCATTGGTCAGCTGTACTCAGATGCTCAGCAGAGTAATTTATCAGCCTCAGGTTTGCAGTGAGCTTTGGCTTCAACAAGGACATTTTACCTACAAAATGAAGAACATCAGTTAATCCTGAGAGTACTTACAGAGAATTTCATTAAAAGACCTTCTGTATAATTTAAGAGGCAAGCAACTTTCAACTTAAAATTCTGAGTTAACACCTCATCATTATGTTTGAACGATTATAAACATTATTTAGAACAATGTAATAAAATGTTAGTGAGAGTTATGATAAATACAAGTAATTGACAGAATTATGCAAATGAACAAGTTATGATGTTTATAATAGTTTCACAACTTCATTTATTTGTAAGTAGATGAGTTGATGCTTCTATATGACCAGTAATTACTATGTACAGTAATTGAATGTTCTAACAGACACTGGGTTATTTATGTATGCCGAAATAAAGCCAAATTCTTAATTATGATGATTGACTCTGAGACACATGGGGATCAATACAAGAATGTGACTTGAAGCTCTTCTCACTGACTCCTGCAGAGGTTTATATCCTAAAATACAGACTTCTAAGATACAGTGTCTCTCCTCTGGGAACTGACTTTCCAATGAAGCCAAATCTAAAACAGTGAATTTCATGAACCATGGACCATATCTGTCTTGTTCACCCTCTGTATCCTGATATCTTATAAATGTGAATATGTCCCTCTTTCCATAAATGAACAATAGCAGTGCCCCATTTTTTGCTTAAGTTCATGTTAATTTGAGTCAATGGGCATCCATTTGTATAGGCTATCCAGGACTAAAAATATAAAATATATACTGGAACGGTCTTAAAAAGTCATTTTCTTTTCCCATAAAAATGTTGAGAACACATCAATATGTTTAAACCAATTTAACTTAAATTAGTTGGCTTGAAATAGCATTGTGGACTAGAGACAGTAATTCAAGTAATGGTTTAAACTGTGTTTCTTCTTTTAGAAACATTCGCAGAGCCATCCCTGCAGGCCACTCAGATGAAGCTGAAAAGAGCCCGCCTCGCTGATGATCTCAATGAAAAGATTGCTCAGAGACCTGGTCCTATGGAGCTGGTAGAGAAAAACATCCTGCCTGTAGACTCCAGTGTTAAGGAAGCAATTATAGGCAAGACTCTAAAAGTTTATTCTGGGAGGAAAAAAAGCTTGGCAGTTATAGAGAAAACAAATTTACTTTTAAAGGCCAGCACCAGTCCTAAGTATTGTTTTCTGGTGGGTTGGAAATTAACACTTGCATTGATTCCATGATTATTATTATTACAGTTGTCCCTCAGCATCCAAGGTAGATTGGTTCCAGGACCCCCCCATGGATACCAAAATCCTTGGATGCTCAAGTCCTGACTATAAATGCCATGGTATTCGCATTTAACCTACCTACCATCCTCCCATATACTTCAGATCATTTCTAGATACCTAATACCATGTTAATGCTATGTAAATAGTTGTTAAACTATATTGCTTGGGAATAATGGCCTGAAAAAGTCTGTACATGTTCTAAGAGACATTCATCTTAGGCCTAACTGTGTAGTACATGTCAGCAATAACGTCACGTTTTGGGGGAATATTTATCATCTGGAGTTGTTTGAATCTGAAGATGCAGAACCCACAGATACAGAAGGCTGACTGTATATTAACTATTGTTAAGAATAGCATCTCTTACCAGTTAACACAGAGATTCTCCTTACATCCTAGGTTTAAATCTTTAAGTTCTGATTTCCTTATCACATTTGTCTAAGTTAGACTTATTGTACTGTACTGTTTAGTTTATTGTTTTGTTTAAAATTTTTACAAAGTTCTTATTTTTGTTCTATTTACTTCTAAGAAAGATAAAGAAAAATAGCTTGTTCTTTGTTAGTTCAGCAAGGTAAATAGCAGATGAGTTTATATGTATTCATTATGAATGGTAGTATTTTATTGTACTTTGTTACTAATGTTTCTACTTTTTTCTGGTATAAGATTTAGCATGAAAAATAAATTCCAGAATAATGCCACTTACTCAGCAAGCAAATTTGTTTTGGTTAATCCTCACCTAAGGATATTTTTCCATTGTTTTTTAAAGAGAGTGGAAGGGATGGGGAGAGACAGAGAGAAACATCAATGTTAGAGAGACACATCGATTGGTTGCCTCCTACCCGAACCAGATCAGGGCCAGGGATCGAGCCTGCAACCTAGGTACATGTCCTTGACAGGAATCGAATCTGGCACCCTTCATTCCATAGGTTAACTCTCTATTCACTGAGCCAAACCGGCTAGGGCTCTACAAGCAATTTTTAAAGTTAATATTCTACTTGAAAAACTATGATAGTTTCCATTACTCATGGGACTTTCTGTTTTGCATTAGTATGAATTTCAATCTTAAGCAATTTGTAGTCCATAATTCGAAGTGATACAATCAACTATGATTCTTTTTAATCCCAAGGAAACGGGTTTCCAAAAGCAAAGTATCGGTATAGCTGGGCCACTCATGAAGTGGGACTTAGCACAATACCCAGTCACCAGCGCCATTTCCCATTGCCTATTAAAGCTTTGTAATAGTTGGATTCCAAATCAGGATCCAAATAAGGTCCACATGTAGCCTTTGGCTGATACACCTCTTAAGTCTAAATCTTGTACATGGGTCTTCTGCCTCCTTTCATTTCTCACTATTTGTTTGTTGATAAATGTGGTAGTTTTATCTGTGGCATTTGATTTTACTGGATGCATTTGCATCCCCGGGTGTCGTTAAAAACTTCTGTCTCCTGTACTTCCTATAACTGGTAGTTGGATTCAAAGGCTTGATTTGATTCATGTTTGATTCCCCCCCCCAAGTAATTAAGGTAGGTAGTGGTGATATATTGAAATTGATATATATATATATATATATATATATATATATATATATATCCAGATTCCTAAGTTCTTAGAAGAAGAAGAAAAAAAAACACCAATGTTTCTCCTTCTTTTTCATTTTAATTTTGGTATTTACAAATCATTTCTTTCTTTAGGTGTTGGGAAGGAAGGCTATCCCCAAACTCAGGGTGATTTCTCATTTGACGAAGACAGTAGTGATGCTTTGTCTCCAGACCAGCCCGCCAGCCAGGAGTCGCAGGGCTCGGCTGCATCCCCAAGTGAGCCAAGAGTTAGTGAGTCACCGTCTCCTGTGACTGCAAACACTCCAGCCCAGGTATCATCCTTGTTTCTACCCCTAAATAGAGAACGTACCTTGCTTTTTTGTATATCAAGTATATATCTTGTAATTTACATATCAGTACATTCTCACTAGAAGTCTGAAAATATAGAGAAATATCTATTCACTTGTAATCTAACCACTGTTAACATTTTTCAATAGAGTCTTGCATTTTTATTTTAGTTTGTAACTCTTAAAATTTCTCACATAATTTTTTTAGATATAATTCATATATCATAAAGTCCACCTTTTTCTTACCACCTTTACCATTTATTTTATTTTATTGGTTTCAGAGAAGAAGGGAGAGGGAGAGATAGAAACCTCAATGATGAGAGAGATTAATTGATCGGCTGCCTCATGCTTCCCCCTATGGAGGATCGAGCCTACAACCCAGGCATGTGCCCTTGATCAGAATGGAAACGGGGCCCTCCAGTCCACAGGCCAACACTCTATCCACTGAGCCAAACCAACTAGGGCACCACCTTCACCATTTTAAAGTGTACAGTTGAGTAATGTTAAATATACTCACATTGTTGTGCAAGATTGCCAGAATGTTTTTGTGTTGCAAAACTGAAATTATACCCAATAAACAACTCCCAGTTCCTCCCCCCCACCTCCAGGCCCTAGCAACCACCATTCAGTTTCTGTCTTTATGAATTTGACTGCTTTAGATATTTCATATTAGTAGAATCATACAGTATTTTTCTTTTTGTGACTGTCTTATTTTACTTAATATAATGTACTCAAGGTTCATCCATGTTGTAGTATGTGACAGAACCTCCTTTATTTTTAAGGCTGAATAATACTCCACTGTATGGATTTACATTTTTTTATCCATTTGTCAATGGATATTGGGTGGTCCCATCTCTTGACTATTGTGAATAATGGTGCTGTGTACTTGGGTTTTCAATTCTTTTGGGCATATACTCAGAAGTGAAATTGCTGGATCATATGGTTACTCTATTTTTAATTTGCTAAGGAAGCTGCAATATAGGTCTCCATAGTTGCTATACCATTTCATATTCAGCAGTGCACGAGGATTCCAATTAGCCACATCCTTGCTGATGCTTGTTAATTTATGTTCTTGTAATAGTAGCCATGCCAGTGGTGTGAGGTGATATCTCACTGTGCTTTTGATTTGCATTTCTTTAATGATCAGTGATATTGAGCACCTTTTCATATGCTTGTTGACTATTTCTATATTATCTTTGGAGAAATTTCTGTTAAATTTCTTGCCCATTTTTTAATCAGGTTGTTTTTCTATTGTTGAGTTGTAGTTCTTTACATATTCTGGATATTAATCTTTTATCAGATATATGATTTGAAAATATTTTCTCCCATTCCATGTGTCACTTCTTCACTCTGTTGATAGTGTCCTTAAATGCAAATAAGTTTTTAAGTTTGATATAGTCCCTTGTCAATAAATATATACATCGCTTTTTATTGCTACACTAGAGGCCCGGTGCACAAAATTCATGCATGGGGATGGGGTGTCCCTCAGCCCAGCCTGCACCCTCTCCAATCTGGAACTCGTTGGGGGATGTCCAACTGCTGGTTTAGGCCCGATTTCACAGTTGGACATCCCTCTCACAGTCTGGGACTGTTGGCTCCCCACCACTCACTTGCCTGCTTGCCTACCTACCTGCCTGATTGCCTCTAACAGCTTCTGCCTGCCAGCCTGATCATCTCCTAATCACTCCCCTGCCAGCTTGATCAACACCTAACTGCTCCCCTGGTGGCCCAATTGCCCCCAACTGCCCTCTCCTGCCAACCTGGTCACCCCCAACTGCCCTCCCTTGCAGACCCCCCCCCAACTGCCCTCTCCTATAGGCCTGGTCCCCCCAACTGCCTTCCCTCCCCTGCAGACTCGGTTGCCCCCAACTACCTTCCCCTGGAGGCCCGGTTACCCCCAACAGCCCTCCCCTACAGACCTGGTCCCCCACAACTGCCCTCCTCTGATGGCCTGGTCACCCCTAACTGCCCTCCCCTCCATGCCTGGTCCCCCCAACTGCCCTCTCTCCCCTACAGGCTGGTTGCCCTCAACTGCCCTCCTTCCCCTGCAGGCCCGATTGCCCCCAACTGCCCTCTCCTGCAGGCCCAGTCATTCCCAACTGCCCTCCCCTGCAGGCGTGGTTGCCCCCAACTGCTCTCCTTGCTGGCCTGATCACCCACAACTGCCCATCCCTGCTGGCCTGATTGTCCTCAACTGCCCTCCCCTGCCAGCCATCTTGTGGCAACTATCTTGTGATCACATGGGAGCGGCTATCTTGTGTGATGGCAGGATGGTCAATTTGCATATTACCTCTTTATTATATAGCACATGTGTCAAACACAAGGCCCGCGGGCCAAATCCGTTCCGCCAGGCCTTGCAATGTGGCCCGCACCACGCTGTCATCACTGCACTCCGCTGCGTTTCCATCACAATGACAGTTTATGACTGTTCAGTAAACCATTCGGCCCGCGATTTAGGCTGGATTTTAGATTTTGGCCCCTTCTCTGATTGAGTTCAACACCCCTATTATATAGGATAGTATTCCATTGAACTGATACACTGCATCTCTTTTAACCAATTTCCATTGTTGGTTATTTGGACTTGTTTCCTGTTTTTCACTTATACACACAATAAGAGCCTCTATTGCAGGGGTCCTCAAACTTTTTAAAGTGGGGGCCAGATCACGGTCCCTCAGAGAGCTGGAGGGCCGGACTATATGAACTACTAATTCCTACTGTAACACCTCGGCTGCGCTCACTGCCCAAAAAACCTGGCAGGCCAGATCAGACTCCTCTGCGGGCCACATGTGGCCCGCGGGCCGTAGTTTGAAGATGCCTGCTCTATTGTATTCTTACATATTTGCTACACCCTGGGGTGTTTTTTTTAAGACATACACTGTTGAGCACTTATTCATTATTTCTCTGAATAATTACCATATATGGAAATTAACTTGAACCTTTTGTTGGGCAAAAGATAAGACAGTTTAATTGCTTTCCAGGTAGGTAATACAGATTTCTAGTCACTATGTGTTTACCACAGCAGGTAATATCATTACCTTAAGTCTTGCACACCATTTGGATATTTGACTCTTTATATGACTCCTTGATTTCTATTAGATTGAGTTCATTTGTTCAACAATTATATATTGAGTACCTTTTATGTGTCAGATTGTATTAGGAACTGAAAATCTAGTGCATGCAAAAGGATCTAAAATATTTTTTATAATTGCATTGGAAATACACTTTTTTTTTTTTTTCCAGTGGGTGTTCATGTTTCTTTTGATTTTATAAGAACTCCTATGCTGTATATAATTTGTTGTTCTCTCCTTATGGTTGTCAACTTAATGGTCATTGATGCCAGTTCAGCCCCATTAGGAATCCCCAATTTGGTGTGTGTTGAAGAAGGAAGCTTTATTCAGTGCAAAACAGCTCAATTGTGATACAGCTTGGCTGTGAAAACAGCAGTTCTCAGGCAGCCTTGAGGCCAGGCCTCTCTAGGTAGACTGCTCTGCTGTGCTCCTCACTGGTCTACTCTGTGCTCTAATAAGACATCTTTGTTTTAGCTCATCCAGGGAAATGCAGTGTTCACTGAAAGAGGAAAGTGTACTTTCAGAGGGTAGCTGGTTTATATGGATAGAAGTTACCACTCTTTGTTTTGATTGGCCTGTTTTCATGCAAATGAGGACTACAAATCCTCGAATTTTGACTGGTTCAAAAGGCACTGTCCTGATTGGTCAGAATAGAACCACTCTGGTTGGTCAGAGCTGCACAACTCCAATTGGGTGGAGAAAGCCTCAGTCCCATTAGTTGAAATAGGATTCCAGGAATTCCTTTATAAGAGCTGGCTCAGATGGCAGAAAACAGTACAGGCAAGCGGGTCAGTGCGGAGGCAGGTAGTTCAGTGCAGGCTTCTCTATAAAGAGCAGTTTGCATGAAGGGTTCCTGTTAAAAATGGCTGCTAGCACCGAAACCGGTTTGGCTCAGTGGATAGAGCATCGGCCTGCGGACTGAAAGGTCCCAGGTTCGATTCCCGTCAGGGGCATGTACGTTGGCTGCAGGCACATCCCCGGTAGGGACTGTGCAAGAGGCAGCTGGTCGATATTTCTCTCTCATCGACGTTTCTAGCTCTCTATCTCTCTCCCTTCCTCTCTGTAAAAAGTCAATAAAATATATATTTTTTTTAAAAATGGCTGCTAGGCTTTGGGTTTTTTCTTGTGTTTTCTTTAATAACTGAAGTTTTTTATTTCATGTACAAGAGATAGCATTCTGTGGTAAGGTAGATATCTTAAGTGACCCATTCATAAAAGTTTAGCTGATCCAACTTAATGAAGTCTATATCCTTCTTGTACTGACTGACACACTGGAGGCACATATCGAGGCCATATTTCCAGATCAGATCATGTACATTTGAGCAGACATGGCAAGAATGAGAATCTTGCTAAATCTTCTCTGATGGCTCCAACAGAGTTGCTGGTTACCCATCTTGCTTTCTTTGAAGTAACGAGGCAAAAGGCTAGGCTCTGAGGGTTTTTTAAGTCAAAATTATTGAGCTACTTAATGGGATTGGTCAAGTTCAGTAGAAAATGTCCTTGTTAAAGTCTAACATCATAGATTTTTTTAGTTGGAAAGGAATTTAGCAGTTATTTGCCTTAACTCTTACACTAGGGGAGGTCTGGGTTCAGAGAGGTATGGAAGTTTGGGGATTAAAAATATTTGATTATTTTCTTATAGCATTTCTTCTCTTTCATGAATATCTGTCTTTCAGCATTATTTTCTTCCTTGTACTAATCACTATAATCTGAACTATATTAATTTCTTTGTTATTGTGTCCATGCCTCTAAATAAATGTGAAAGTGTTAGCCTATGAGGAGAACTTAGACTCAGAGGACAAGAGCTACGTGTGTGTGTGTGTGTGTGTGTGTGTGTGTGTGTGTGTGTGTGTATGTGTGTCTGTGTGTGTCTGTGTCTGTGTCTGTGTCTGTGTGTCTGTGTGTGTCTGTCTGTCT